CACACCCCACACCCCACACCCCACATGGTCGCCACCGCTGCACGGCCGCCACACCAGCGCCAGCCGCCAGGAACCCTTCACCACCACACACACACACACACACACACACACGCCACCCGCGCCCTGCCTGCAGGCGCTGCTGGACTCCAGCGACAGCGGGCTGCAGGAGCAGGTGGGGGAGATGCTGAAGATGCTGCTGGACCCAGAGACGCTGGAGGGCAGCGCGGGTGGGTGGGTGGCGGGGCCGTTCGGGGCGGTACTGCAGGGCGGTACAGCAGGGCAGTACAGGAGTTTGTGGGCGGGAGACGCTGGAGGGCAGCGCGAAGTGGTGGTGGCAGGGCTGGGGGCTGTGACGCGGGGCTGGGGTTGCGGGGTGGAGGGGGGAAGGGCTGGTTGCCCTCATGGCCCTGGTTGCGCGCATGGGCCCATTAGCCTGGCAAGGAGCGGCGGCGCCCTCGCGTGCGAGCCTCCATCGCTCCCCGGCCCTGCCTGGCCACACAGCAGGCACTCACGCTGTCGCCGCCGCCGCCTGCCCCTGCCTGTGCATCTTGCAGAGAAGAACAAGTTTGTGGAGCTGTTTTACGACAAGTACATAGCCAAGGTAGGGGCCCGGTGCGGTGCGGGCTGTACAGTGGGCAGTACAGGCATCGAAAGCAGTACGGTGGGGCTGAGCAAGTGCAGGGGGGGCAGGCAGCAGCACACGGCTGTGGTGCATGGCGATGGGGAGCACGGGCAGCAGGGCAGGCGCAGGCGTTTTGGAGCGGGGAGACCCAGCCTGGGCGCAGCGTGTGACCCGCCTTGCGCCGCTGACCCTCGCCTCGCGCCTTCCCCTCTTCGTGTGCTGCAGCTGCTGGCGACGCTGGTGCAGGCGGGAGACGATCCGTATGCGGCAGGCGGACCCTCCGCCAACACAGGTGCGGCGCAGGGCTCCCCACCTGCCAACTTCTAGCTCCGCTGCTGCGCTGCCGCCTCCTGCTGCGTCCGCGCTGGCTCCCAGGCTGCCGCGCAGCCGCTGTGCCATCCGTGCTCTCGCTGCAACCCTGTGCCTCCTCCCTCCCTCCCTCCCTCCCTTCTACACTTGCACTCCGCCCTCAAAATCAACCGCACTCACCCTGCCTCGCCTGTCACCTTGCCCGCCTGCCGCAGTGGGGCTGGTTGTGGACCTGCTGTGCTTCTGCGTGGTGTCGCACTCGTACCGCATTAAGTACTACATCCTGCGCAACAACGTGGTGGAGAAGGTGGGCGGTACCTGTTCCGCATGGGACGTTTTGGATGCATGCGGCCGGGGCTGGACAGGCTCCAGCAGCCCCAGATGGCACCCCTCCCTGTTCCTCCTCCTCCAAGCATCCAACCCTGCCCTTCCCTGGGAATGCACCCCGCCCCTCCCCAGGTGCTCAAGCTGCTGAAGTGCAAGGAGCGGTGGCTGGTGGTGGCGGCGGTGCGCTTCCTGCGCACCGCGCTCAGTATGAAGGTGTGTGGGGTGGGGTGGGTGTTGTTGTGTGGGGGCAGGCCTGCTGAGGATGCCTTCGGCTGGCCGTGCACGCGCCGCGCTGTCGCGCCAAGCAACTCGTATGTGCTGCACTGATGTACCGCACCGATGTACCGCCCCTCCCATACCGCAGGACGAGTTCTACAACCGGTACCTCATCAAGAACCACCTGCTGGGGCCCGTGGTGGCCGCCTTCCTGGGTGAGGGCGGCGCTGCGGGTGTGCAGTGCATATTGCATGGTGGCGATCGTGGGCGCTGCCTGTTCCAGCGGCATCTCACCTCGCCTCGATCCCTCGCCCCACCGCCTCGCGCCCTCCCCGCCACCCCCGCGCCCACCACCTCACCCCCACTACCTCACCCTCCTCCCCCCACAGACAACGGCCCCCGCTACAACCTGCTCAACAGCGCCTGCCTGGAGCTGTTTGAGTTCATACGCAAGGTGGGCGGGTGAGGGGAGGCGGCTGGAAAGTGCGGGCTGCTGCCGCTGCTGCCAGGAGCTGCCGCGGCGCTGCCGCCAGATCCGTGCGGCCGGGCACACGCCTGGTGTGGCCAGGTGCATGCACACAATTACCTTAGAGTTCTGCACACACACACACACACACACACACACACACACGCACACACACACACACACACACACATGCACGCGCACACTACACACACGTACACCACGCGCACACCATGCGCCCGCCTCCTGGTGTGCCCCTGTGCAGGAGAACCTGAAGGGCCTGCTGGCGGAGCTGATGGACCAGCACTGGGAGCAGCTGCAGGCGAGGCCAGACAGCCGCCCGCCTGCCCTGCCTGCCTCCCTGCCTGCCTGCCTGCCTGCTTCACTGGTCCCCCCCCCC